TGTCTACATCTCCAAAGCTCAAGATGCTCTGTTCCCTCTTGTGATGTCATGAAGTGCTAGTTTTCAGGTTAATAGCTGCCTTTTACCTTTTGTTTAGAGGTTGGCAATTCCAGGGCTAAAATTATCCAAATGAGTCTAGTGAAGGTGTATGGATTTTAAAAACACAGTGAAGCACTTCCTGTATTACCACATGACATCAGAAGGTGGAACAGAGTGATTTCTGTTTGAGAGAAAAAGTTTTTGTGTAAAACGTGTAAATGAAACAAAACACAACTCCAGGTATGTTTGTGATGAGGGAACAACATTATAATATATCAGAAGATAATGTAATGCGGGCCCTTTAATGATAGGATTTTGTTCCAAGTTCACATTTTAAACACGTCCAGAAGAATCCAGAAGCACTCCTAAAATACACTTTAACCTAAAATGAACCAAAGCTCTCTAGGAAAGATTACATTAAACTTGTGGTTCAAATTCCACTCTCTGTTTGTCTCTGATTTCCAAATGAACCTTTGTGAGAATGAAGCAACTTTGGTCACTATGAGGTCAGAGCAGCAACGCACTGAGAAACCTGTGTCGACGGATGAAGGATGGTCTGATACAGGGCTGCAAGATTAATCACAGTCGAATCGAAATCGCAATTTGAATGCACGCAATTAGCAAAATGTAAAGGCTGCAAATTTTTAAAGGTCCTATATTATACTAAATTGACTCTTGTGAACTTTAAGCCAATCTTATAGTGTTGTTACCTCCTCAAAAACAAACCCGGAGTATCTTTGTTTCATTCACATGTTTGAGTAACTCTTTATTATGATGATTCTGTCTACATCTCCAAAGACCAAAATACTCTGTTCCACCTTGTCATGTAGTGTAAGTTTTCATGTTTAAAAGCTACCTTTTTACTTTTAGTTCAGTAGAGATTGGCAGTCCCAGGGCTGAAGTTATTGAAATGATTCTAGTGAGTGGAGGTAAACACAGTGGGGCACTTCTTTTTTTTTTTAGCACATGACATCATGAGGTGGAGTGTTTTCTGTTTGAGGGAAGAACTCATCTTAAATATTGAGGGAGCAATATAATATATATATATATAATTATAATACATCAGAGAATAGCGTAATGCGGGCCCTTTAATGATAGGATTTTGTTCCAAGTTCACATTTTAAACATGTCCAGAAGAATCCAGAAGCAGTCCTAAAGAGTGAATCAAAACACAACTCCATATATGTTGTTTAGGAAACATTATAACAGAGATAATATGGGCCCTTTAAGTTCCATGATTACTTCCCACAAACAAAATCTTATCTTTTTCTGCATAAAAGCTGTACAAGATGTACAGATCTGTACAAACATGCTCTGAAATGTGTTTCTTGTATTAGTTTTTCACTTCAGACTTCAGTATTCCTGGTAATATTTTTGATTCTCTTTTCTTTACCATGGACTAAACAAAACCAGGACTAAACAAGGGACTAAACCAGGGACTAAAACAAGACTGAACCAGGAACTAAACTAAGATTGAACCAGGGACTAAACAGGACCAAACCAGGGAATAAACCAGAAAATAAACCTGAACTAAACCAAGACTGAACCAGGCACCAGGAAATAAACTAAGATTAAACTGGGGACTAAACCACAGCTCAGTCAGGACTAACCCAGGACTAAACCAGGCCTAGTTCTTTTTTTCTCATTTTTAAGTTAATAAAAATCAGACACAGCACTTTTAACTTCTTATAACTTCTATAAAAAATCCCACTGAACTTACTGTTTACTTTGTGTTTATGACCCATATCTCTGTCATATTCCTGGTAATATTTAGATTTTCTTGTTTTTACCTCAGCGCAGAGTGGGTGAACGACCTTATAAACATCCAGTGATATCATATTTGCGCAAACGCTAACCCCAGAGTGTCCCAAGACATAACTACAACTCCCACAATGCACTTCCTCTGTCCACTTTCCCTCCAGCCTATCAGGCCTCACTCTGTGACCAATCAGAGGGCGGTTTCATGGAAAGGCCCCTCCCACGTTGGGTCACAGAGGGGAAGGGGTTCATTTTGGTCCATAACACCACAGACAAAAACATGTTTGAATGAAAATCTGACCAAAATGGGCTGGGAATTTTGGACTAAACAGATAGACGAAGAGGAATTAATTGAAGATGGTGAGTTTTTGACAATTTGGAACATTTTTACTTTTTCTTCAGATATTTTCAAGGTCTGTTTTTCTGAATTGAAATTTGACAGTTTTGGGGAATTTTACTACTACACAGATAATTGTTTCCAGTACTGATAAGTCAAAGGTTCAGTGAGTTGTTTTTATAGTATTTTGTGATTTTAAATTCTTTCCAATGTGGACAATCTTTTGCACAACTAAAATGTGTTATCTGTTATCTTAAGAATGTGGTCTTAGAAACTGTTACTACTATGACTACTGCTACAACTGCTACTGCTGTTGCTCCTACTATTAATAATAGGGCTTCTACTATTCCCATTGCTACTGCTACTGCTACTGCTACTCCAGCTACTACTACTACTGCTACTATTACTACTGCCACTACTGCTAGGGTTCCTACTATAAATACTGCTACTACTGCTACTACTACTACTACTGCTATTGCTACAACTGCAACTGCTACTGCTATGACTACTGCTACTGCTATTCCTCCTACTATTAATAATGGGACTTTTACTATTACTACTGCTACTGCTACTCCAGCTACTACTACTACTATAACTATTATTACTACTACAACAACTGCTACTAGTACTACTTTGTTTTGTCATTCATTCATTTGCTTTAAAGATACTAGTAGTTAGTGGTTTAGATAATTTGGCGTCATTTAGTTGAAGTTATCAAAGCTGGCATTGCCTTGTTAAAAGTTGGTCACAATTGACAGGCTGTTTATTAAGTTCTGTCTTTTAAACTGTAAATTGCATGTCTTGAAACAAAGAAACAAGCAGGACATGCCCACAGACCAAGATACCGGTGAGCATGTTCATAGAGCAATCAACACAGCCATAACTGAATGTATGGAAGGTTGATAAGATTAATACCATCCTCATGGAAACAAGCAAAAAGGTTACACAGTCCACCTTTAAGTAGTGTTTTTTTTTTTTTTTTTTTGTCGATAGTAACTCCAGTTGTTACGCAGTGAATTTGAGACATGAAAAAATATAAGCAATACATAATACTACAATATGTTTACATAAGATTATCACATTGTATTTCCAGCAATATTTAACCTCAAGTCCATATTATATGTTTAGCCTTAACTGAACTTGTTGAGCTAATCACATTTTTGCACTGTTTAATGATTAAGTTAGTTTACAACCCTGACTCGACAAAAATGTGTGGCTTATGTCCTTTAAGATTTTATAATTCGAGGCATTTTAGCTGTTAAAGTTGATTCATTTTCGTAGTTGGGTCAATAAATACAGGCTATGTAACGTTATGCTAGCTGTCAATGCTAATGTAGGTTTTGTTTCTAATAATAACAAAGTGATTTTCTTCTTAACATATCACTGCATTGGATTTCTTATCTTTGTTTTTTCCTAATTTGATTTTAGTTTTTGGAAAGTGTTGTAGTTCTCATAGTGTTTTTACAGTGTTGTGACTCTGAGAAAAGGGTTTAAAGTTCAACCAGTGGTGTTTATGAAGAAAGCCCTTTCAAAATAAAATGCAGACATTGAGTTTAAACCAGTTATAGTCGTAAAAACGGGGCATTTCTTTTCTTTTCTTTTTTTTTAAATTTAAAAAGTGCTAAAAATTAAGTTTGTCAAATGGTAGCAAATTAAGTTGTAATATTTTTACTCCAAATCTGCTTCATATTTCTGATTTATGTAGTGACCCAGCACTAAACCAGGGACTAAACCAGGAACTAAACCAGGGACTGAACCTGGGTCTAAACTAGGACTAAACCAGGACTAAACCAGGGACTTGATCCAGGGACTGAACCAGGGCTCGAGCCTCAAATTTGGTAAATAATACTTTTGTGCAGTCTTTGATACACTGCCCTCACAGCTCAAACAAAAGTCTTTTGTGCTTCAGGACATTGGTATTTTCGTGTAAATTTAAATTTAAATGGAGTACGAGCAATGAACCAGGTGTAAAATAATCCAGAGTGTGGCTTTAACCTAGGATCAACTGACTCAAACCTGCCTCCGTTATCTAATAGTTCAGTCATTTACCAAACCTGTTAATCTGGTTTATTTTAAGAGCTCCCATTAAGAACACAGTGAGGTATTTAATCCATGTAATCCCTACTAAAGGGTTGCTGGAACTAGTGATTGTGATTTTTGAGACTCGATTTGTAATTATATTTGTGATTTCAGTTTTTAAATCAAGGCTCATCTCACATGTCGCATTTTGATCTTTAAACTAATCTAAGAATCTCATGTATTTCAGGCCAGGACTGAGCAAGGAACTAAACAAGGAACTAAACAAGGACTAAACCAGGAACTAAACCAGAACAAACCAGGATCTGAAACAGGAACTGAACCAGGACTGAACCAGGACAGAACACTCCAAAAAAGCTTGACCAAAATTTAAGATATAAACACTTAAATCAGAAAATGATTTAAAAGTAGTGAAATTATCTGTCCATGCAGCAAGATAATTTTACTTGACAAATGATCTTAAAATAAATGACCTCTAGAATAGAATTAAGCCATCTCAGAACTAGTAAGTAGATAATACATTTGAAAACATGATGCATAAAGTGATATAAGTTTTTAAATCTTGGCCAGATCAGAGAAATTTGCAGTGAACCAGGGACTAAACCAGGAACTAAACCAGGAATTAAACCAGCACTGAACCAGCACTGAACCAGCACTGAACAAGCACTAAACCAGCACTAAACCAGGACTATTGTGAACACAGCTTTTGTTTTTCATTCCAGCAGAGTTCAAACCAGTGGAACCTGTTTGCTCAGAGCAGACTTGTGCGTCTCTACCTCATGCCTGTACTTATGCCCCTTCTCTCCCTCTTTTTCGCTCTTTGTTCCAGGAGGGTTGGAGGACTACTTTGGCAGCTGCAGCACCAGCAGAGGAGGGGGAGGGATGAAGAACGGGACAGGGCCCAAACTTGTGGACCCCCTGGAGGACCCTCTGCCTGGGGTGGGGACCTACGAGGACTTCAACACCATAGACTGGGTCAGAGAGAAGAGCAGAGACCGAGACAGACACAGAGAGGTGAGAGCAGGCCTGTCACAATCATTACTAGTACTGTACTTTGCAGCTGACATGTTTGTGCATTGTGTCACCATGGTAACGTGAACATTCCGTCCTAGACATACAGGCAGAACACCCCCAGCGCGATGCCACTGCAAAGTATTAATAGAGGACCTTTTTCTGATGCACAGATACTGATTTTGCATGATGAATTTGACTTTTCTGTTAGACCTCATTTGTTTGACTTGTGATAAACACTAAATGAAAATTGTGTGCTGGCGACGCCTGAAAAGTTAAAGTTGCTCCACATAACTTTTTTCTAGTAGAAATTTGTCTTAAATATTAAAGGGTCCATATTATGCTATTTTCTGATCCATGTTATAATGTTTTCCCATCACAAACATACTACTCAGAGTTGTGTTTTGTTTCATTCACACATGTTTAACACATAAACCCTGCATATGTAGGATGAGTTCTTCTCTCAAACAGAAAACACTTTGATCCACCTTGTGATGTCATGTGGCAATACAGGAAGTGCTCCACTGTGTTTTTAAACTCTATACCCCTGTTCTAGAGTCATTTGGATGTTTTTAGCCCTGAAATTGCCAATCTCTACTGAACTAAACTGAACAGAGCATTTTGAGCTTTAGAAATGTAGACAGATTAATAATAAACTGTTACTCAAACATGTGTGAATGAAACAAAACACAACTCCAGTTTTGTTTGTGAAGTGTAATGACTTTTTAACATGGCTTAAAGCTCATAAGAGTCAATTTAGTTAAACATAGGACCTTTAATAATTACTTAGCTCAATGATATTTATTTGTGTTCCAGATCACAAAGAAGAGCCGTCAGTCCACTGTGGCTCTGCTCAGGAGTGTGAGTGATGCGTTTTCAGGATGGCTCCTCATGCTGCTGGTCGGGCTCATGGCAGGTACACAATACAGTACAATTTTACTCCCACTGCTGGGTTTCAGATGATAGAACAACGTTCCATAGGCAAATGTTATTTAATACAGATAGGGGCAAGTAAAATTCATTTTGTTTCTATTGTAATCATATGCTGTATAAATCGGCATACCTAACTTGCTATCTTACAACTTACAAACTTTGGCTCCAATTCACTTACTTTTGAAAAGCTATCAACCATCTCTCTGTAACTGCTGCTGTCAGACTTGTCATTTTGGTCTTAAAATGTTCGTATTAACCCACTCTACATGATGCTGGGGTTTTTATTTTGCTGTTTTGTTCGTAAATCAAAATATGAACATTAATAACAGACAAAGCAGACACATTCTTTCTTGAGTTTGCAACAGGTTAGCAACAAATGTCAATATGTTAATATTGTACCTTATTTTTGTCACAGATAACCTTTGTAACACTTAATTCCTATGTGAATTATTAATTGTACTATGGTCTACTTCCCTACTTCTATTTTGCCTTGCTTCCAGAGATCATTCTGATGACATAGCATTTTATGGAGTCTATATTCTGCTAAATAGTCTTTTCTCTCTGTAACCTTTTTCTAATGTGATTACATGTTGAAATGTTGAAATGCTGAAATGTTGTAAAAATGGTGGAGCTGTAACCCTGTTCTGAAGTACCGTCCACCATAAAAAGATCCCTGCAGTGATGTGTGAGACACTTGTTTAACAGCACAAATCAGCTCACCTGTTCCAGCTAAACCAGCTCTTTCTGGTCAGATAATGTTAAAATAAAGTTCAGATTAAAGTTTCCCAAGAGTAGTACGTACAGTTAGCATCACATGCCCTAGGAAATTTGATAATCAGCTGTAAACAATCAATACTCAACAACAACAATAATAACAACTAACTAATTAACAACAACTGGAATATATTTAACGGACCTCAACAAAAAAGTTACACAGTGCACCTTTTAAATGATCATAAAATTAACACCCCTCCCCTTACATGTCTCTCCCTACAGGTGCGTTGGCAGGTGGCATAGACATCGCAGCTCACTGGCTCACAGACCTTAAAGAGGGCGTGTGTTTGGTTGGGTTCTGGTTCAATCACGAGCACTGCTGCTGGACATCCAATGAGACCACATTTCAGGAGAGAGACCGCTGCCCCCAGTGGCAGACCTGGTCACAGCTCATCACCGGACAGACTGAGGTACCGCCACAGTGATTTTTATACTTGTTTATTACACTGTTTTACCAATTACACATTAGCATTATTTTTTACAACAATTACGCATTTGCCACAAAGTTGGTAAATTATTAAACGTCCTACATTGCACAGAATTGACTTGAGTGGTGTTTTGTTTCATTCACACACGTTTGAGTAACCCTTTATTAGTATTTTATGTCTATATCTCAAAAGCTCAGAATGCTTTCTTCCACCTTGTTATGTCATGAAGCGGTAATTTTCAAGTTAACAGCTCCTTTTACCTTTTGTTCCAAATGATCCAAAGGATTCAAGTGAAGATGTATGGAGTTTAAAAACATAGTAGAGCACGTCTTGTATTACCACATGACATCACAAGGTGGAAACGAGTGTTTTCTGTCAGAGAAAAATTCTGTTCTTATGGCCATGTTTAAAATGTGAACTTCGAATTAATCTTAAAACTTTAATCACAAATGTAAACGGAATCACAATGTTTGTCAGAAATTGGGTATTAATTGTTTCCACATAACATATTTAGATTATTGTGTTACTTTTAATTGAGGTCACATGATTACTCGAACATGCATGGATGACATAAAACCACTTCAGGCAAGTTTTTGATAAGGGAAGCTCCAAGTCGATTTTGCATTTTTTTATATATTTTTTTGCATCCCTCTTTCAGTAATATTAAACAGCCTCTAATGCTCAATCATCTTAATCACTAAAAATAACAGTTTTCTAACTTCTAACTTTTTTTATTTTATTGTGAGGAGTCTTAATAAAATTATCCACTCATATTAGAATACCGTAGCTCCATCTACTGTTCATTTCTAGACATTGCATCACACATAGCTTGTAGCAATATTTTAACTCATTGCTTCAGTATATTTCTGTTTCTGATGCTTTGATGACCCCTATATGTTTAAACTTAAAGTGTAACAGTCAAAAATTTGTAATTTTTTATTTGTCAAATTGCAGATTTGTTGACGTGGGTTACGGTTCATATCTCGGTAATTACTGGGCCTCTCCACATGAAACAAAAAACTAACACAAAGTTCTGCCTCCTCTCTGTTAGTGTAAATGAACAAAAGTGAAATAATTTATTCACAGTAGCTTCAGAAAGTGGTGCCATTATTCAGCCCCAAAGACGTGATTGTTGTTGACAGTTGAAAAGACTACCATAAGATTAATACAACAAGTTTGTGGAGCCAATCCCAAACAAATAATGATAAGGTTCAGCATTTGTGGATCATAAGTTTGGAGGTTTCTTTCAAAAAACAATGCATGCAATGAACTCAATACCGCATGTATCGGTTCTCTTCTCTTCCTCTAGGGGGCGTTTGCATACATAGTGAATTACCTCATGTACCTGTTCTGGGCCCTGATCTTCTCATTTTTGGCGGTAACTCTGGTTCGTGCATTTGCTCCTTATGCCTGCGGCTCTGGAATCCCAGAGGTAAAACAACTGAATCACACTGAAACTATTATATAAGCACTCATTTACATTTACTTTAGTAACCTTTTAAAGAAATTGTACTTTTCAGAGTATGTTTTAGCAGCATATTTTTACTCCTACTTGAGTCATTTAAAAAAAAAAAAATAACAGTATCCTTACTTGAGTAAAAGTTGTGGTTCCTCTTCCCACTGTGAGTAAGTCTACAAGTGACAAAAGCTTTATGTGACAATATGAAATGATTTGAACATTTGTGTTTCTTGCACTGCTTTGGAAATACAATTTTTTTTTCCCTTCAGATTGCATTAAATTATAAATCAGTTGCTCTTACTTGAGTAAGTTTTCCCATATACTTTTTTACTCTTCTTGGACCACTACTTTGTACTTCTGTTTGAGTAATATTATTTTGAAGTAACGTTACTCTTACTTGAGAACAGTCCAGAACAGAAAAAACAGACACTGATGGGAGAAATACTTTGAAAATATATTTAATTACAGAATACCTGTGATGTGTCGTTTAAAATGTGTAGTTTGTTATGTATTCCTTTACTTAAACCAATCAGAATACTGCTTTAGTAATTAATAAAACACAAAATAGGATTACAGGATTTGTTATGCATGTATTTATTACTGCTTAAAGAAGAACAAAAAAGCCACATAGCTGATTAGCCCCTATTAGACCTTCAGTCTCTCAATATTCTTCTGTAGTCTATGAGAAAATATATGGGGGCTGGACTGTTGCATTTGGATAAAGAAGAATCATGTGATGTTTTTACAATATTTCTTCTTAATGAAAAAAAAAAAGACCTAATAGTAACACCAACTCCAGATTAAAAAATATTAAAAACTGTTGCACCTTACACATTGCATATTTTCTTGTGTCAAATTATATTTCCTGTTTCAGATAAAGACGATCCTGAGTGGATTCATTATTCGGGGGTATCTGGGGAAATGGACTCTCATCACCAAAACCATCACCCTTGTCCTGGCCGTGTCCTCTGGCCTCAGTCTGGGGAAAGAGGGCCCCCTAGTGCACGTGGCCTGCTGCTGCGCCAACATCCTCTGCCACCTGTTTACCAAGTACAGGAAGAACGAAGCCAAACGCAGAGAGGTGAGAGCTACATGTCTCTGTGTGTCAGATGCCCTCCCTGTGTCTCCATGGGCCTTATTCTGTGTAAAAGCTGCTAACCCTTTAGTTTAGACCTTTGCAAACATGTTCTGAAAGGAAAGTTTTTGGCAATAAGACACATAATTGGGTAAAAGCAAGTCAAATGTCATACTGTGGAACATTCCAGGTAAAGCAAAAACATCTCCATGGAGACAAAGCAAATCCTTCACCATAATCGTTACACAGTGTGACTTTAATAAAATCAGCTGTAAATTTTAAACAGTATTTTCTTTATTTTTAGGTTCTATCAGCGGCAGCAGCGGTGGGAGTGTCTGTAGCGTTTGGAGCACCAATTGGAGGAGTTCTTTTCAGTTTGGAGGAGGTAAAAAAAAATAAAAATTACATTAACTTCCTAAAATGTTATAAATTTCTGTGTTTTCCATGAGTTAAGTCAGTCTCATAAATCTGAAGTTTTGTGATCTACAGTTGGAACATGAGCTCAGCCTGTCTCCTCTAACTCTCAAAGGGGCTCTATCAAACATAAACTATAAGAAATATGAGCGAAGATTTTCTGAGAATCTTATAATTTACTGTCAAAGACTTGTTTCACTTATATTTTAGAGTATGTACTTTTGCTTAAAAGGGAACTCATGTTGTTGCTGTTACCTCCTCATGAGTCAATAGCTAAATCACATTTTTATAAATAATAATATGAATAATTTTTATCACAAGTAATATGTCTTAACTTGTTTAATTAATTAATTTATTTATTTATTTGAGACAGGGACAGTGCACAATTTTTACATTAACCTTAAGAGGAGAGATGCGTTGTACCAAGTTGTAGCACTGGTGCTAATTCCCACCTGTCGTCCCTGGGCAGGTTCATAGATTGATGGTATTTAACTGGCCTTGACTATCAACTGTTCTTCCTGGAGACCTGTAGCATGTTTTGGGTTGATGGGGGAAACCGGAGCACCCAGAGGAAACCCATCTAGACACAGGGAGAAACATGCAAACTCCACACAGAAAGGCCCGGGCCCCAGGGATCGAACCCGGAACCTTTTTGCTGTGAGGCATGAGTGCTAGCCACTCAGCCACTGTGCCACCATTATTAATAGTTAAAAGTAAAGGATTCTAATTTGACATACAGACAATATTAAAATAATTTCTTCAAATATAAATTAACAAAAGACCCTAATTTGCTTTAAGCAAAGATTAAAATTAATTAAAATGTACAAAAACATGATACTAAACTCTACACAACAACTTTACAAACCTGATGCAATGTACAGTAGTTTCATTAGAAGGATGCACATGCTCTGAAGGGGCATGACTCAGCATACGTTGTTTTAGGCAAAATATAGTATTTTTGAAACAATAACAGGTAACATGGTGATCTAAATGTTATGTGTTAGCATCGAAGTTGTATATCCCTCTTTAACTCACACATACTCTGTTTTGTGTTTTTAGGTGAGTTATTACTTCCCCTTGAAGACCTTATGGAGGTCCTTTTTTGCCGCCCTAGTGGCCGCCTTCACACTGCGCTCCATAAACCCCTTTGGAAACAGCCGCTTGGTGCTGTTTTATGTCGAGTTTCATGCTCCGTGGCATCTGGTTGAGTTGGCGCCTTTTATTCTGCTCGGGATCTTTGGAGGCCTGTGGGGGGCGCTGTTCATCCGAGCCAATATTGCGTGGTGCAGAAGACGTGAGTATAAAACACAGTTCAACTGTGTGAAAGATTTTGATTTAAAATGTTATAACTGCTAAAATGTGTCTCTCTGGTCTGTATGGTCACTCCCTAAACCCAGCACCTGCACCAATCATGAATCAGCTGTGACTGTAGAACCTTTTTTAAAAATGATGGCAACGATTTATAAAGAAGTTGCAGGTGTACGTTCTTTATAAAATCCACATTTAAGATGCATTATGTAACTTTTAGAAGGTCCCTCACTTGCTCCACTATGGTTTGTTATTGGTTTCCCCAGAATGTGAAAGTGCAGCAATAAACCTATCTCATATTGTGATATTGTCATATTGTGAACAATAACAATTACTGAACCAAATAATCTTGATAATTATGATTAATGGTGGATAATGAGCTTCCAGGCTCAGTGTGGATTGTAGTGATGCTTTTTAAGCCAGATATTGTTACAAACATTTATATTGGAGCTCTGTCTTTTCCCGTTTTCAGGTAAAACCACTCGTCTGGGACATTACCCTGTGCTGGAGGTGCTTGTCGTCACGGCGATTACAGCTGTCATCGCGTTTCCGAACAGTTACACCAGAATGAGTGGAGCTGAGCTGATCTCTGAGCTGTTCAATGACTGTTCACTGCTGGACTCCTCACAGCTCTGCGGATACAAGCAGGTCAGACTTAAAGCCACAGTATGCCATGTTTTATTGCCCTGAAACAATGCAAACAATGCCTCCTTTCTGTGAGTGGGCTTGCATCCCCACAAGGCTCCACAAAGGCCTTTTCCTGCTTGTTTTCATTGAAATGTTGTTCCTTTGGCTATTGATACTTTGCAGCTGATTTCATCCCTTTAGGGTTTGATGCTAACTGTAAGCACAGCTCTGTCTGAGGCTTGTTAGATTTTAATCTGAACTTTATTTTAACACAATCTGACCAGAAAGAAACTGACTTATTTGGAACTACAGCATTAGCCAGCGTTTTTCAGTTAGTCAATCTCACCTTTTTTGTTGAAAATCAAACCTAAACAGGACAATGAATGCTTGTTTTTCTTGTGAGTCACATCTGCTAACTTTGGCCAAAACTTCTAAATGTTGATTTTGTAAAATATGGCTTCATTTGTAAATCTTGTTTGTGTTTCCAGCCGAACATGAACACCTCAGAGACAGTGGGGGACAGTCTGGCAGATCGTCCGGCCGGAGCTGGACTCTACACGGCGCTATGGCAACTGGCCCTTGCCCTCGTGTTTAAGATGTCTATTACTGTCATCACCTTTGGCATGAAGGTAAGAGCACAGAACTATATATCTGATACCACAGAAGAGGCCAGCTCTATGTGAGATTACAACAAAGCAGGGTCTCTGTAGTTTAAAATGAGGTAAAGGTCAGAATTCTGTGGTGGAATTTGCTGTTTAAAGGACCCATATTACACTATTTTCTGAGCTATTTTATAATGTTGTTTCTTCATCATAAACATATCTGGAGTTTTTTTTTTTCCACATCAGCTTCAGAAAGTGGTGCCATTATTCAACCTCAGATGTCATATTACTCAGTTTTTACTCAGTCAGCTGACAACAATCACACGTTTTTTGGAGCCAATCTCAAACAAATAATGAGATAATGACAACTACTGACTTCTTAATTTTTTGTAATTTCTTTTGGGTAAAGGTGCATTGTGTAACTTATTGGTTGAGGCTCCATCACCTGCTTGTTTCTATGGATATGTCATTGCTCTGCCTGGAATGTTCCACAGTATGACATTAAACTGCTCCACTTTACATTTATTCAGTTACAGTGGTTTTGTAGCTCGAACATACCTAGAAAAAACAGGCATTCTGACTGCGAGCAGGGCTGCCTCTCATTCCAGACAAAGCAATAACATCTCCACGAAGAACAGCATTTTAAGGACCCTCCACCAGAAATGTTACACAATACACCTTTAATTTCATGATTATCTTGATCTCTCTGTTGCATGTACTCAGTTCCACTAACAGTGATTTTATTTTGACCAGATGTGAGTTATCCTGTTTATTCCGTGGTAATTTCCTGAGAGCAGCTGTTGTCAGATGTAATAAGTTTTAAATCCTAACAGAGGGTCAGTCCAGTCTCTGTGAGTCAGCATGAGTCAGGCCCAAACAGCATCACAGCCAGACATTATAATGAGACACAGTAGTTTTATATTAGATCAGATTTTTCTCATGAGTCAGGACCAATGAGGAGCAACTGTCTCTAATTAAGAACAAATAAACGTCATATTTGGAAAGCTCTTAACCTCCTCCTCTGAGCTTTCATCATATCTTCGTAAATACAACAAGGTGCTGTCCGTGAGTTTAGCTCCTGTGTCTTATTTTATAAGACTGGGGAAAAATAATCAGGAATGTGTGGCGCCTATGTGTTCATGGGCTTTTTCTCACTCAGACCAGACACTTCGCTCACTCATTCATGTTTGGTATGTGAGAGATTATTGGTAGTGGCTGCCAACAAAGCGCTATCAAATCAAGTGCATTATTATGTGGTTAGAGCAGCGTTCCCCCAACCCGAAGGTCAGAGGATTGATTCTCACTTGGACCAAGTTCTGTGGTTGTGTCATTAAGCAAGACACTTCAAGCACACTGCTTAGTATGAATGTTGTGTGCGTGTGTGTTAGTGGTGGTTAGAGAGGCCGACAGCGCAGATAGGCAGCCTCACTTCCGTCTGTCTGCCCCAGGACAGCTGTGGCTACAATAATAGTTCACCATCAGTGTGGAGTGAAAGAATAATGTTGTGATGTCGCTCTGAAGGAGAAGTGACTCAGCACGGGGAGCAGAGGGAGGGGGAACTCAGAGCATCGAAACTGAAACTGAAAATTAAACATGTTAAAGGTGCACTCTGTAACTTTTCTGGTGGAGGGTCTGTCATCTGTTTGTCTCCATGGAGATATTACCTTGATTATTCCACAGTTTGGAAATAAACTTGGTAATCACAATGGAGACAGGTTAACGGTCAGATCTATGGAGATGTGAGTCTGTACAGGGTAATAAGTTAAGGTATTATTTGAGGTATTTATTAGCTATTACCTGTAATTGAACAAATGCAAGGGAGATATATTTAATGCCCTACTGTGGCACATTCCTTGCAAAGAAATAACATCACCTCCATAGAGACCAGCTATTAGCGGATCCTCCACTTTAAAAGTTACATAGTGCACCTTTAATTCAGCAGTAAAAGGTAACATGGTGAATGAATAATGCAGTTTAAAACATTTTGGTTGTCTTGAAAAGGTGCTGTATAAATCCAATACATTATCATTATTATTATTAGGATAACTATTTAACCCCTTCCTCGTGTCTCCCAGGTGCCCTCGGGTCTGTTCATCCCCAGCATGGCAGTAGGGGCGATCGCAGGCCGGTTGCTAGGCGTCGGCATGGAGCAGTTGGCATATTATAATCACGACTGGTTGATCTTCAAAGGCTGGTGCTCTCCGGGCGCAGACTGCATCACACCAGGACTCTACGCCATGGTCGGAGCCGCCGCATGTTTAGGTAAAAGACTCCACCGATACTGATACTTTGTAGCTGATGTTAACAAATTTCCCTGGAAGTGTGTCTGAAGGGGCAGATAAAATGAATACTTTTAAAATATGAATGAATGAATCGAAATTGCTATTTGAATAGACATAATTTGCAAATTTCCAAGGCTACAGTTTTTGAAGCAGCATAATTTCCTTCACAAACAAGAAATGATCCTGTCTTAAAAAAAAAAACGTTTAGATCTGTTGCTGGGTTTCAGATGACGTCACAGCATTCTATACACCAATAATATGTAATACAAATAAGGGCAGCTGAAATGAACATTGTTAAATACAGTTTTTTGTTGCAGTACAAGAGGTTAATGAGTCTAGTCAGTAATACTCAGATTATACATTTGTGAGTTTTCTTTTTAGATATTTCACATTCTAGGATCTGAAAACCACCAATACTTGATTCTTATGTTAGTTTATGAATTCATATTTCAGTCTTTGTCAGTTCTTCAGCACACTTTTAAAAGCCCTAGTTAAATTTAAGGATGCTCTAGCTTTTTCAGTCCCATACCGATTCCAATACTACAGTTTTAAGTATCTTTTGATCACTGATATCCACCAATACCAGTGCAGAGATTGATTACAGCATTTATTTAATTAAAACAAAAATAAAATGACACAAAACATGTAAAATGTGTTTATGTAACTGGTATTTATCCTTCGTGTAACAATAGAACAGCTTTGTGTTTAAAAAAATAAAATAAAATAATTCTAAAATATTATGAAACTTTCTGACCAGTGAATAGTCTTATTACATTAATGCATATGCCCAATCAGGATAACGAATAACAAATAAACCGATATTTGGAAGCCGATCAGGTCCAGCTTTCAGTGTCAACACTGATATCTGATTCTGGAAACAATTGCTGGACCTGATATCAACTCTCCTAGTTAGAATGAAAATTAATTTAAAGCAGTGACCTCTTGAACACAGGATAACAATTACTCAGACACACATGAATTACTGTAAATCCAGCTCTGAGTGGGTAAATGAGAAGGGAAACAATTATAACGTCATTAAAAGCTCTGAAAGCTCTCTTTTACCTAATGTAGTCACTTTAAACAAACACGTTTCTTTGTGTGGTTAGTGATTATTTGTTCTTGTTCCCTGCGGTGGCGGTCTTCACTCTTTACTCTGATAATTATTATGTTTAGCAGAGCAGAGCCTGGTCCACAGCTGTCTCAGGGTGTAGCTGATCTGTTTTGACGTAACAGTTTTGAAAAAAAAGCTAAACTTTAAATGAAATTGTGTCTAGATCCTGGTGTGGGGCGTAAACATGGCTGTAGCATACTGCACATGTTGGCGTGGCTCTGATGTGGTTTCTAAAGGCAGTGCATGTAATCTCCGTCCGCTTTAATAAGAAGCTTTAGCCTGAGTTTATGGGGTGCTCACCGACACAATGGAGAAAATATGTGGGAAATATGTGGAAATACTGTTTGTGGTTGGCAGCCATTTTAGTAGCAAATACAACAAACTGCTGCAAGAAATACACAGTAAAATGAGCCTCATCATGGGGTATGGTGGTGGGTGGGATACAGCTGCATGTGGGGGCGACGGTGGTTCAGTGGTTAGAGCAGTGATACCCCAACCCAGAGGAGGATCAGAGGATTGATTCCCACTTGGACCAAGTTCTGTAGTTGTGTCCTTAGGCAAGAAGCTTCACCAAACTTGCTGAGTATGAATGTGGTGCCGAGCAAAGAGTGTGGAGTGAATGAATAATGACAACGGTGTAGCTTTGAGATGCTTTGACAAGTCTGTAAAGCTCATTATGCATTACTATTATTATTAAAGATACAATATGTAACTTTCTGGATGTGTGGTACTTCACAAGCATGGTTCCATAGAAAAAAGTTAAAGCCATACTTGGTAATACAACCAACACAACCAAAATGAAAAAAAAAAAATAAATCATTTAATTTAATCATTTAAATAAAATGTTACAAATTAAGGCTTTAACATTTTGTCTTCAAAGTTCATGAGGTAGAAACAGGAAAATTAGCAAGTTCTGAGCAACGTCCAACTAAAATGTTTCATATGTCATTAAAGAAGACCTATTATTATTATTAACTGCAGTCTCCCTCACACACAGTCCTTACCTGCTTTGTCATTTCACACACAGCTCCATGTCTCTTTAAACACACTTGCACAGCTCAGGAGGTCCAGGCACTTCCTCTCTTATTAGACCATAAATCAGCATTAGCTCACAGCCCCACAGACTCAGGCTGTATTTAAAACACTTTGATTAAACTCTCCAAAGTAAATATGTTTAAATGTTTTCTATACGAGTCTGTTCTTTATAACTGTGTGCGTGATTAGGGACAATTTATTTTGAAGCATTTTTGTTTGGGTAAAAAAAACATCTGTGTGCAAATGTTACCATAAGGTTTAATAATAAAACCCAGGCCACTTTGGGTAACTCCTGTTTTGAAATAACTTGAGTTACTTGTACTTCTCAGAGTACTTTCCCTTCATACTTTTACTTCTTCTTAAAGGTGGATTGTGTAACTGTTCATCAAATGCTTTTCTTCACAGAGATGTTATTACTTTGTCTGGAATGTTTCACAATATGGCATTAAACATTTCTATCACCATGTAGACCAAACCAGACCAAGTTACAGGTCAGATCTGTGGAGAGGCGACCTTGCTCGCTGTCAGAATACCTGCTTTTCTAGGTATTTTTGAACTATAAACCCCCTTGTGATTTAATAAATGTAAGATAGAGCTGTTTAATGTCATACTGTGGAATATTCCAGACAGAGCATTGAATTATCCATAGAAACAACGGATGACAGACCCACAACCAAAAAGTCACACAGTGCACCTTTAACTTCTTTTCCAATTTGTCCAAAGTTTTGTATAATTTGTTGAAAAGAAGAACTTGTAAACTTCATGAGCGATTATTTGATTCACATTTTCATTCTTGTGGTGTTTATAATTTCCTGGAGTTTTTATCTTCCATCTTTGATCTGAACATGTGGAGTCTGTTTGTGACATAATGATATTCTGGTGGTTTTAATGTGTCATTTGCAGCTGCAGATTCTCATTTTGTCTGAACAGGCCAAAGGTGGTAGAACATCAACAAATTGGACAAAATTAACTCAAGTTACTTTAAAGAGGGGGTATTATTGGAATTTTCTACCATGGTATAACACTGTTCCTTGATCAAAACATGCCTGAAGAGGTTTTATATGTCATTCAGGCATGTTTGAGCAATTTAGAGATCTGTCCTGGGCCACAAGTCTCCCACACAGCAATTTTCCATACATATACACAAACTGATACAAAACTATATGCTACAACTTTACAAACCTGATGCGATGTGCAGTAGTTTCATTAGTGGGATGTGTACTGATTGTGTTGTAGTAGAGCTCTGAAGGGAGAGTGACTTTGCATCGAGAGCATAGGAAGGGTAGACTGATTCAGAGGGATATTCCACAGTATGACATTAAACTGCTCTACCTTACATTTATTCAATTCCAGATGGTTTAATAGCTCAAACATACATAGAAAAACTGTGAGCAGAGTTGCCTCTCCACAGATCTGACCTATAATTTCATCTGGTTTGGTCTCCATAAAGGGTGAAAGGTTTAATACCATACTGTGAAACATTCCAGACAGAGCGATGACATATCTATAGAAACAACAAGGTGACAGACCAACAAACGGAAAAGTTACATAACGCACCCTTAAGCAAATCACCTGGGTATCTGGTTGCACTCTCAACTGCAGTTTCTCTTTGTGTCCTGTAGGTGGCGTGACCCGTATGACCGTGTCTCTGGTGGTGATCATGTTCGAGCTGACCGGGGGGCTGGAGTACATCGTCCCTCTGATGGCAGCGACCATGACCAGCAAATGGGTGGCAGACGCTTTCGGACGTGAAGGAATCTATGAGGTAATGCAGGTTTAAACGCCCTATATGATCTTTAAGCCATGTTACAATACTGTTACCTCATCAAAAACATACAAAACTTGTGTTTTGTTTCATTCACACATAAATATGCAGCATTTGTGTGTTAAACATGTGTGAATGAAACAAAACACAACTCTAGGTATGTTTGTGATGTGGAAACAACATTATAACAGAGATGAGAAAGCAGCGCAACATGGGCCCTTTAATAAGAACAATAATGATATAGTGCACACTGACCCATTCTCTCTAGGCTCACATTCGGTTAAATGGATACCCGTTCCTGGAGGCAAAGGAAGAGTTTGAACACAGCAGTTTGGCGGTGGATGTGATGAGGCCACGCAGGTCTGACCCTCCTCTGGCCGTGCTCACACAGGACAGCATGACGCTCGGAGAGGTTGAGGTAACGCCCACTTCACCTGACATTTCTAGTATAGACCGAGAATTTTATTGATCCGCAGATTACAGACTGTAGGAGTGAGTCTGAGCTTTGTTGTATTGTATTTAAAAGTCATAAAATAACTAATTAAAATGCATTCATACATGAGCCATATTTTTGTATGGGGATAGTCAGACAGGGTCAAATAAGAACTTTAGTCTTCTATACTCTACATGTATTAATCCCAGAGTACAAGGATGTCAACAGGAAAATCCCTATAAACTTTCATCACCGCAAAATTTAAGTCCAGTGGAGCATAGCAGGCAGCATGTGTAAGATTTGTGCAAAACAAAATACTACTTTGTCAGTGACATATTAAATATATGGTATTTACTTCATATTCCTGTGGTGTATGCAACATTTTTCACTCAACGCATGTAATTCTAGGATCACGACGTCCAAAAGTTCCATCCAAAATATCAGTCTCTGTACAGAGGATCTATGTTTGAGTAAAATCAGCAAGGACATATATACTTATATGGAAAAGTCATTATTACACCACTGCACAAAAGTTAAATAATAACCTTAAAGGAGCTGTATGTAGCCTGGGCCCTTGCTTTTTCCTCTTAACCTGCAGACACATACAAGATAGGTGCAGGCACTGGGGTTTAGGTAGAGATCATTCAGGTCAGAGAGAGACATTTTAGGATTAAACCAACTGGATTTCAGCACTGGACTTCAGCATGTGAGGCTCATTCTGCTTTCTGATTGGATATTTGAATTGGATAATCAAACACCAATTTATAACAAATAAATGGGACATTGTGTTCAATGTTTTTGTAATTAAGATCAGCAATTAAAATCAGCATTAGAATTGTTATCAGTAAAAGCTGTATTTGATTTGAACATGTTTATCTGATATCTTTAGACTGAGTTAAGTTGTTTAAGAAATGTACTATTTTAAATCTTACCTACAGTTCTTTTAAAGGTGCACTCTGTAACTTTTTGAGGAGGGGTTTCCATGGAGATTTTCATGCTTTACAGTTGCACAGTAGAGATATCTATTCAAATGTGTTTAATTGCACTGCCAATCTTTGTTTGTATTGAATATTGAATATTATGTCTGTCGCCCCCTGCAGGCCGTGGTGGAAAGCACACATTACAGTGGATTCCCAGTGGTGGTTTCTCCAGAGTCTCAGAGGCTTGTGGGCTTTGTGTTCAGACGAGACCTGCTCATCTCTATAGGTCAGTTTTACACATGTTTACATAAATAATAATGGTATTATAGTGCTTATGATGGGTTAGACTGCTCGTCCCCATATTTGATAAGTTGCCAAAAAACATACCCTTTTTTTTCCTAGTTTGACAATTTTGCAAATTTTTGCTTCCTGAGTGGACATGAGCAGCAGATACAGTATGATTTGGTTTTTCTCATTTTTGTGTAATCTAAATTATATTACTATCAAATTATAAAACAGATGTTAGTTCCTGACAATTACTCTTTAAGTTATTCTTTCGTCAGTAGTAGTTTTCCCAAATACTTTTTTGGTCTTACTTGATTAATTTCTTCTTCCTTTACTTTGTTCTTCTACTTGTTTAATATTATTTTGAAGAAACGTTACCCTTACTTAAGTACAATATTTGGCTGCTCTACCACCTCTGCAGTCAATATTGAACCTTGTCATTGGAGTATCCTGTTATATTGTTTTTCAGATAACGCCCGTAAGCGTCAGGAGGGCGTGGTCAGTGCCTCAGTTGTGGTCTTCTCTGAGCACGCTCCATCGCAACCTCCTGAAGCCCCGCCCCCTCTGCGTCTCCGTGGCATCATGGACCTGAGCCCCTTCACCGTCACAGATCACACCCCCATGGACATCACCGTCGACATCTTCAGGAAACTGGGGCTACGGCAGTGTCTCGTCACACACAACGGGTAAGAAAACAAAGATAAAAGTGTAATTATAACAGGTAGGAAAATGTGCAAAATAATACTCTTTAGAAAAGCAGCAAATATGTGTAACTAAAACTATAAAAATGCAGGAAACTTTTATAAGAATAAAATAATAATGCAGGAAGTATGTGTAAATAAATTGGATAAGAAAACATGAAAAATTAACAAAATAAAAATAGTGATAAAACAGAAAATGTGCAAAAAAACAACAAAAAAAACCCAATAAACAATAGAAATACTGGGTCTAAACGAGAACTAAACCAAGACTAAATAAGGTTAAAAGCTGTACTAAACTAGTTCTAAAACCGGGCCCCTCCAGATTCAGTACATTACAGCATAGTAATTTGTAATTCATTCATTTGTAACAGGATTAAAGCACCACTGCGGAACATTTTCTCACATTAAAACGAGGTTACCGAGAGAAAAGACAGTTCTAGAATGTTGGAGCTTAAATCAACTCAAACTGTTGATCACATTGAAAGAGTTAAAACAGCAGATAGAAAAAGAACATCCTGTATGACATCCTTATCTGGCCTTCAGCTCATGAATCAGGCTGGACTCTGTGGCCTCTCTTTGAAGCTCACAATACATTTAAAATATGAAAAAACACACACACACACACACACACACTCACACACACGCACACACACACGCACGCACACACGCACACACACACACACACATGCGCACACACACACACACACAGCGATTTCATCTTGCACAAAATCTTTTACTTATTGCCCAATCTCCAACCAGCTCCACATGTTCCAGAAATGTACAGAAAGATACTTTATTCATATTTGTTCATTCATTTCTTAAAAGATGCACTATGAAACTTTTTCTGGTCCAGCGTCCGCCATCTACTTGTCTCCACAGAGATGTTATAGCTCTAAAAAATACCAGACTTTGTGCATTTTTAAGTTATCCTTCCAGTTACATTATTTATGATTGGGGTCCGTCACTTGTTTCTATGGATATGTCATTGCTCTGCTTGAAATGTTCCACAGTATGACATTAAACAACTCTACTTTACATTTATTCAATTACAGGTGGTTTTATAGATCAAAAATACCTAGAAAAACAGGCATTCTGACAGTGAGCCACAGATCTGACCTGTAACTTGGGCTAGTTTGAACTCCATGAAGATAGAAATGTTTAATACCATTTGACATTTGTTTCACCAGAAAACTTACATAATGCACCTTTAAATTATGAATCAAATGTTCCATCCAGACATTTACCACTATTTCAGTAATATTTTTGAAGTAACCGTACTTTTACTTTAGTACAATTTTTGGCACCTCTTCTTAAACTCTGGAGGAATATCTGATTGCAAATCGGCCTTATAATCCTGTATAATTTCTTGTGTAGCACTACAGTGTAAATGACATAGTCCACTTTTAGACCTGGTTTAGCCCTCTACATTAGACCTGGAATAGTCCTGTTATAAACCTGGTTTAGATCTGGCGGTACTCAGAAAGCCAAATCCTTTCTTTGTTGTGAAAAGTTCAAGAGCCTCCGTACTAAAGCTTCATTCTTCCATTGTGTCTAATAATAAATTTAGTCCTATATTTTCTTTTCCATTGGCTTCACAGCACTGTATGACACCTATCCAATTCTCGTGAAGTTATCGCCCAAAGGTGCTGAGGGGAATTCAAACCAAACAGAGAACCCCAGATCCTCACGACTTTACTTCCTGTTTCAAAGTGGTTTTCAAATGGTCTTGGATTCGTTTAGTCTTATAGTCCATAGAGAGAGACAGAGAGAGAAAAGGGAGGTGAAGACAGCAGAAGTTACAGACATTTGTTTTAAATTTAAGTTTGAATGGAGCGAATCCACGTCTGACGGAGATGATCGAGAAATAATAAATGAACGCAAACAATCAGCGGTGAGGACAGGTTTAAAGGCGCTGTACTTGTTTTTTTTTTGTTTTGTTTTGTTTTTTCCATGTATTTGAGCAAAACATATCTAACTCTAGTACTCTTGAGACCAAAATAAATCTGCTGTGTACTGTCTGCATCAAATTATAAAGTGTGTTATTGTATGAGAATCAGGAAGTGTACGTTAGCTTGCTAGTTATTGCTAGCTTTACCCTGACAGCACAACTTAAATCCAGTCTCTGAAAGCTGTGAAAAGTACGGTGAATAATTAGGATGCTCAGAAAATGTTAGGAAAGTGAGGAATAACTTTGAAACAGACCTGGAGTTGTGTTTTATTTCATTCATGTGTTTGAGTAATCCTTTATTATTAGCCTGTCTACATCTTCAAAGCTCAAAACGCTCTGTTCCAACCTGTGATGTCATGTGGTGGTAGTTTTCAAGTTTCAAGTTCCGTAGAGATTTGCAATTCCAGAGCTGAAATTATCCAAATGATTCTAGTGAAGATGTATGGAGTATAAAAGTTAGTGTATCACCATATGACATCATAAGGTGGAGCAGAGTGTTTTATTTCCTAGAGAAGAACTCACCCTAAATATGCAGGGTTTGTGTGAATGAAATGTGTGAATGAAACAAAACAAAACTTCCAGGTCTGTTTGTGATGAGGAAACATTATAACATAGATTGGAAAAACGCGTACTTTGGGCAATCCCAGACATTTCAGAACATGTTTGTAGAGGATTAGCAGCTTGTACATATAATATGACCCCATGGAGACACAGGGAGGGCATCTGACACAACACACAAGGAAGGGCATCTGACACACAGAGACACGTTTATTTCCAGAAAAGTCTTGTGAGAACAGTTCGGTGGAATCCAGGCTTACTCATTTTTCACGCCTGTATTTGAGTGCTCGCTCCAGGCACTGAAAGCTCCGACGTGTGTTTTTGGTTGCTCAGACTCATTGTCCCAGAATGCATTGCTTGGGGGGCCAGCGAGAAGGGCCGCGTCTGATCAGGAGACAGTTAAATTTCATTGCCCTGCGCACTTTTCCCACACTATCTATAGTTTAACAATAGGCTGCGTTCATGACAGTCTTTAAGTGCAGATGAGCAGTTAGGATTTCACTAAAACAGAGATGACTCCATTGTATTTAAAATTTTACAACAAATTTACTGCTATTGTTGAATAGTTTTACTTGCTTGGATATGGGGAGCCAGTTTTTGTTTCCTATGTGGACAGGTCCAGTAATTACAGAGATATTGGCCAAAAACCAGGTCAACAAATCTGCAATCTGACAGTTAAACAGCAAATTCCATCACAGAATTCTGGTTTGTAGGTTCTATATTACGCAAAATTGACTCTTGTGAGCTTTAAGTCATGTTATAATGTTATCTCATCAAAAACAGACCTGGAGTTGTATTTTGTTTCATTCACATGTTTTGATGAGGAAACTACATTATAACATAGATCAGAAAACAGCGTAATATGGACCATTTAAATTATAGGAATCTACAATGTTGTGATGTCACATGAACCTGACCTATATTGTCCCAGAATCCATTGCTTCAGGGGTCAGTGAAGGAGGATCTCAGTTAGATTTCAAGGCCCCGCCCACTTTCCCACACTATCTTAATTAAGTTTAACAATTTTGGGGCATTTTGTTGTTGTTGTTTTTGTTATTTCTGTTATGATTTCACTAATGTTATATGGATAATATGTTGTTCCAAGGTAAAATAATGTAAATTATAAAATAAATACTGGTACATAAAAAAAATAAATAAAATAAAAACAACACAAAATCTCTGTTAGTGAGACTATTTAGCTCTGGAGACTTTGAAAACCACATGTTGACATTTCTTGGCTTCCGTTTGCTGCTATCTGCTTCACTTTAGAGTCTGTCTGCTTCACTTTAGCATCTATCTGCTTCACTTTAGAGTCTGTCTGCTTCACTTTAGAGTCTGTCTGCTTCACTTTAGAGTCTGTCTGCTTCACTTTAGCATCTATCTGCTTCACTTTAGAGTCTGTCTGCTTCACTTTAGCATCTATCTGCTTCACTTTAGAGTCTGTCTGCTTCACATTAGAGTCTGTCTGCTTCACATTAGAGTCTGTCTGCTTCACTTTAGAGTCTGTCTGCTTCACTTTAGAGTCTGTCTGCTTTACTTTAGAGTCTGTCTGCTTCACTTTAGAGTCTGTCTGCTTCACATTAGAGTCTGTCTGCTTCACATTAGAGTCTGTCTGCTTCACATTAGAGTCTGTCTGCTTCACATTAGAGTCTGTCTGCTTCACTTTAGAGTCTGTCTGCTTTACTTCAGTGTCTATCTGCGTCACTTTAGAGTCTATCTGCGTCTATCTACTCTACAAAATTACACAATCCATTATTTAGTTTTGACTACACAGTTTAAAATGGTCTGTTTTTTATCAGTCTTTCTTATTTACTTTCGAGTCAGTGATTAAAGGAATGGTATCTGATTGTTTAATGTCTTCAAAACATGAAAAACATAACTAGTTCATTTCAAACAGTTTGCAGTGCTCCAAAATTGTTCCTCAGTTGCCTTATGCATCCAGATCATCCAGATTATTCATCATGTTGAGTTTATAAGAGCTTTTCACAGCAATAACAAGAATGAAATCTGAACTTTGAATGAATCCAAGAATCCAAAGCATTTCAGAACATGTTTGTAGAGGTCTAAAGTACGGGCTTAGCAGCTTTTACACAGAATAAGCCCCCATGGAGACACGGGGAGGGCATCTGACGCACAGGGAGGGCATCAAAAGCAAAAGGAAGGCATCCGACACAGAGACCAGAGCAAAGTTTTGCCGTGACAGTAAAACTAACAACAAGCAGCTCTTGAAGTCATAATCTCTGTGTACTGTTTGCATTTGATTAAAAAGCATTTCATTGTCAAAAACTCACGAAGTGCGCATTAGCATTGTAGTTGCAAGCTTTCCCATCTTGGCAAAACTCCACTCTGGTCTCGGAAAGTTGCGAAAAGCTCATCATGGTGAATAATTAGGATGCTCTGAATGCATAAAATAAGTGACGAATAGCTTTGAAGCACTGCAAACTGTTTTAAAATGAACTAGTTCTGTTTATTTTACGTTTTTAAGAGAGCAAAAATCAGGTACAGCACCTTTTATTTCTCCTATGTGCATTATAAATTGTGTACATTTCGTTGTTTTCATAACCAAAATCAAACCTTAACGCATTTTGTCCCTTCTGTTTCCGTAGGAGACTTTTGGGCATCATCACCAAAAAGGACATTTTAAAACACATGGCACAGATCGCCAACAGAGACCCGGACTCCATTTTGTTCAACTAACTTCTCAAAAACTGCTGCGAAAACTTCTGTAAAAACATCAACTTTTACGACCAACTGAACCAAAGTTTACCGGAACACAAGCGGAGATCATTTTGCACTTTTGCCATTTCAGAACTGGAGAATTTTTCCAACCAGCATGGCTTTTTCCCAATCACAAAACCATCCAAAAACCACTCCACGATTTTTTTAGGAGATGACGAGTGAGACTTGGAAGAACTGGAGGCCCTGGGGGGACGCAGTGGAGCGGACATGCCCAGGCGAAGTGCACCTTTTGTGGGGTGGGAGCGTGGCTTGCCCCCCTCCTCTCCTCCTTCCTGGCTGTGTCATCGTGAAATTTCTTGTTGCCTCCAGATAACAAAAAAGCAGACCGTATTTTCCGAGAAGGATCTGAAAAAAATGACACTCCAAAATCCTGAGAACTTGACGGAGGACCTGGCAACATGGATAATTGTGGAAGAATGTAATAACGGTGTATTTTAAGACTTCTAATGGTTAAAGAGCCGCTGTGAAAAGGGCTGTACACGGAGAGAAAACATTGTAATTTATGTCAATATAAAAATGTTTGTCCAAGTAAATTATTTCACTAAATGTTAAGTGTCTGTGGAATTATTCAGACCTAAACTAGGACCAAATCTAAACTAAACCAGGACTAAATTTAAATCAGGATTAAATCAGGTCTAATCCAGGACTAAACTCGGACTGAACAAGAAATAAACCAGTTCTAAATCAGGACTGACCCAAGACTAAACCAGGACTAAACCAGGTCTAATCTAGTATAGAAATATAGGACTAAACCAGGTTTGAACTAGAACTGAACCAGGTCTAAACTAGGACTTAAGATAGAACTAAACCAGGACTAAACAAGATCTAAATAACATCTAAACTAGGTCCAAACCAGGATTAAACCAGGTTCAAACTGGGTGTGATTCAGGACTAAACCACGTCTAAACTAGTACTGAACTGTAGGACTAAACCAGAACTAAAATAGAACTAAATCAGGACTTAACAAGACCTAAAGTAGGTCCAAATCAGGACTAAACTAGGACTGATCAAGGATTAAATCAGTTCTAAACCAGGACTAAACCAGGTCTAAACTAGTACTGAACTATAGGACTAAACTAGGACTCAACAAGACTAAACTAGGACTGGACCATAGGACTAAACTGCAGCTAAACCAGGACTAAAACTGTTCTAAATCTGGACTAAATCAGGTCTACACTAGAACTGAACTATAGGACTAAACCAGGACTAAATAAGATCTAAATTAGGTCCAAACCACGACAGAACTAGGACTGAACTATGAATAAACGGGAATAAAACCAGGACTAAACCAAGACTAAACCAGGTCTAAACTAGGACTGAACAAGGAATAAACCAGTTCTAAACCAGGATTAAACAGGTTTAAATTTACACTGAACCTTGACTAAACCAGGACTAAACCAGGTCTAAACAAGTACCGAACGATAGGACTGAACTAGGACTAAACCAGGTTTAAACTAGAACTGAACCAGGTCTAAACTAGAATTAGACTAGAACTAAACCAGGACTACGTAAGATCTAAACTAGGTCCAAACCATGACTAAACTAGGACTGAACTATGAATAAACAGGAATAAACCAAGACTAAACCAGGACTTAACCAGGTCTAAACCAGGTCTAAACTAGGACTAAATCAGGACTACAATAGGACTGAAGTAGGAATAAATCAGAACTAAACTAGGACACAATCATGACTAAAACCAAGACTGAAACCTACTCAGAATTCCTCAATTTAAAGTCAGCATTTAATTTCATATGCAGCACATTTTTACATTATTATTCTAAGTTATAGTCTGAAAACACTACTATAGAATTTGCCCAGTGGCGTATTTCTTTTTTCCTTCATAAAAATATTTCCTCTGGTGGCGGGGTCAAAGGTCAGCCACTCTTTCTCGCCATGGGATCATAAAGTTTTACAGTGCGCACTTCAGATTTGGCCATTTTGAATCTTTTATTTCCACAGAACAGAAACCGAAGAGGCCAGAGCAAACACGGACGACGAGTGGAAATTTGACTAGTTAACTATTCAGAATTAATTTGAGCGACAGAATCAATAAACAAAAGAGACTGGACTATAGAGCTGAACGGTTTTAGGATTCTGTTGAAAGTTCACATTTTAAACACGTCCAGAAAAAAGACTGAAATATGAAGTGACAATTCAGGACATGTTTGTACAGATTTAAAGTACAGGGTTTGCCGTTTTTATGCAGAATAAAACTGGAGATTTTGTTGGTGAAGAAAATTATACAAAATTGCAGCCATTGTTAATTTAATCCATTCATCTTGCAATTTTGATCAGATTATGATTACTTTTGCAACCCTTGTTTGGACGGGAGATTTGTCTAGGGAAATACGAGCCATTTAATTTAATTTTTTTTTAAATAAATTACTGAGAAAACATGAAAAATGAGGCAGTTATTAGTTTACGCATGAACATAATTGCCTTTTTAGGGCAGTAGAATCTGTAACCCATGAGAATAAATGAGCACTATGTAACTTTTCTGGTGGAGGGTCGGTCACCTGCTTGTTTCTATGGAGATTTTATTGCTTTGCCTGAAACGTTGACCCAAAAAGTGGCATTAAATTTCTCTATCGCCACGGAGACGAGCAAGAAATGGCACCAGGCCAGGTTACAGGTCCGACCAATCACGGTGCAGCACTGAGGTTTGCACAGAAGCCAAAGGTGAAGCGCCCAAACGAACCAAAACAAACATGGCGACGCAGACACACTCCAGCTCATTTTAGCATCAATACACACTTGTTTGTTTGTTGTGACGCTTTGACCAGTCTGATACAAATAGTCGTCATGACGCTCCACGTTTTCTAAGCACTTTCAGCGAGAGTCATCCCAGATTTTATCATCAACGCAATTCAGAGTGACACACACCAATCTGTGGTGAACAAGTTACACAGAGACAGAGAAAACAGGGGCCATGGACTGTAGAAAAAAAAGTGTACTAAGCGTCACCCACAGTGTTCAGCTCCACTCAAATGAAGCTCTCGATGCTCACGGTTACAGGAGCCAGGTTCTGTAGTAGCAAAAAACAAAACATCAGGATCATGTAGAGCGGGTTAATATGAACATTTTAAGACCAAAATGACGACGCTCACAGCAGCAGTTACAGAGAGAGAGACGACAAGATCCCAGTGTAAGTCAATGGGAGCCAGAGTCAGAAGGAGCCGGAAGAGCCACATGTGCACTTCCTGTTTAGAACTAGTGTGTTATCTATGTCCATTTATATGTACAGTCTAAGACAAAGGTCTGAGGTTACGCCATCTGTCTTTTTCTCTCACTCTCTCTCTCTCTGTTTCTCTCTGTCTTTCTCTCTCTTTTTGTCTCTCTATCTTTCTTTCTCTCTTCCTCCTCTCTCTGCCTTTCTCTAGCTATGTTCTCCCCACCTTCATCTATCCTTCTCTCCTCTTCCTCTCTTTAGCCCCTGCCCGCACACTCTCTCTCCCCCTCCTCTCTCTTCACCCTCTCTTTCGCTCTCTCTTTCACTTTCTGTCTCTCGCTTTCTCTCATCTCTATCTGTCTCTCTTTTTGTCTCCCTCCAACACTATCTCTCTTTTTCTCTTCTCTTTCTTTCTCTCTGTCTCTCTTTCTCTCTTCTCTTTCTCTCTCTCTGTCTCTCTTTTTCTCTTCTCTTCTTCTCTCTCTGTCTCTCTTTCTTTCTCTTCTCTCTTCTCTCTGTCTCTCTTTTTTCTCTTCTCTTTCTCTCTGTCTCTCTTTTTCTCTTCTCTTTCTCTCTGTCTCTCTTTTTCTCTTCTATTTCTTTCTCTCTTTTCTTTCTCCCTCTCTGCCTCGCTTTCTGTCTTGCTCTCTCACTCCTCACTGTCCCCCCCCCAGTCTCGTTTTCTCTCCTCTCTTTCTCTCTGTCTTCCTTCTCTTTCTCTCTCTTTTTCTCGCTTTCTCTCTTCTCTTTCTCTGTCTTTCTTTCTCTCTTTTCTTTCTCCCTCTCTCTGCCTCTCTTTCTGTCTCACTCTCTCTCCCCCTCTCTCTTTTTCTCTATCTGTCTCTCTTCTCTTTCTCTCTCTCTTTGCTCCCACCCCCCTTTTTCTCTTTCTGTCTATCTTTATCTCTTCTTTTTCTCCCTGTTTCTCTTTCTCTCTTTCTTGCTCTCTCTTTCCCTCCCTCTCTCTCTCTCTCTATCTCTAAACCAGTCTTCACTCGTTTGGCCACCTTATCCCTGTGAGAGAGAGCTCAGAGCACTTTGAAAATCTGAGTCAAAATCTGACTCTTCAAGTAACAAAACAGGGACTAAACCAGGACCGGACCAGGACTAAACCAGGACTAAACGAGGAATAAACCCGAGAATAAACCAAGACTGAACCAGGGACTAAACCAGGACTAAACCAGGACTAAACCAGGACTGAACCAGGCCTAAACAATGATTTATCTCGTACACAAACTTGGCCTAAAATGGAAACAAACATCAAACTACAGAAAATAAACCAGAGCTTAGTCATAGCCTACATAATATAGGACATGATGAGTGAAGTGTCTTGCCCAAGGACACACAAACGTTCTTGTTGTAGCAGGTTTGTAATAACTGGAGTATTTGGAGGTGAGTTCCTGTCTCAGTTTTTCACATGGAGATCAGGTTTCTGACGGGGCATCTGAATTCTTTCTCCTCTGACATTACGGCGCACACAAGTCAGAGCCGGACCTGTGCGTGCGGTCATGGCGTCCGGCGTCCACTAGAGGGCGTCAGGAGAGGGTCACGCACCTCCAACAAAACAGGTGTTAGAGAAATACTCAAAGGTCCCATATCACACAAAACTGACTCTTGGCTGTGTTAATTAATGTTGTTACCTCTTCATAAACAGACCTGGAGTTGTGTTTTGTTTCATTCACAAATGTTTGAGAAAGCCTTTATTATTAGTCTGTCTACATCTCTAAAGCTCAAAATGATCTGTCCACCTTGTGATGTCATGGAGTGGTAGGTTTCAAGTTAAGCACTACCTTTTACCTTTAGTTGATGAGAGATGGGCAATTCCAGGGCTGAAATTATCCACGATTCTAGTGAAGGTGTATAGAGTTTAGAAACACAGTGGAGCATTCCTTATATCACCACATGACATCACAAGGTGGAACAGAGTGTTTCCTGTTTGATTATGTTTTATCTATTCACCTTCACTAGAATCATTTGGTTAATTTCAGACTTGTAACTGACAATGTCTACTAAATTAAAGGTAAAAACAAACAAAAAAAAGTAGCTTTTAACTTGAAAATTACCATTTCATGACATCACAAGGTGGAACAGAGCATTTAGAGCTTTGGAGATATAGACAGACGAATAATGCAGGATTACTCATTACTCAACATGTGAATAAAACAAAACACAACTCCAGGTCTGTTCTTGAGGAGGTGAGCTCACAATTTTGTCAGTTGTTGTGTAATTAATGCTGCATTCTGTTGCGCCTGGGACTCAGGGGGGAAAACCAACCTCCACCTCGAGAAAATGAAATGGAACAGGCCAGTCAAATCAGGATTTCCGAAACATAAACTCAGGCTAGATCGGTGCAGCCTGAGTCGGTTGGATTTACGTC